TCTCCTTCTCCTTCTCCTTCTCCTTCTCCTTCTCCTTCTCCTTCTCCTCCTCCTCCTCCTCCTCCTCCTCCTTCTCTTCCTTTTTTTCAAGTTGCCTGTGTTTTTTACAGTTGCTGCTGGATGCAGGTGCCCATGTTGAAGGTTCTGCTGTCAACAGTGGAGAAGACAACTATGCTGAGACCCCACTTCAGCTGGCCTCAGCAGCAGGCAAGTCTGAGCAAGTATTGCATTTTCACTCCCAATAAAGTTTAGAGATATACTCATAAAAAAAATGCCTGCAATATCTATTTGCATTTCAATCCAACTATGAAGTGTCAAAAACCCAAAATTTGGAAAAAAAAATATTTTCAGAGCTTATATAGTCATGCAGTTCCTGGCAGACTGTTTGCAGTGGGGCACTGAGACTATGTAGGATTATGAAATGATGAACGGTACTTACTATATGTGCACAAGATAATATGTGGTCCTAGTGTATGCACATAAATTCACTTGGCATGATTCTTGCTCCCTTTTTGGGGAATGAGAACAATAATAGAAAATAATTTGCACATTATTGTATACATACAGTGAGATTTGGTCCCCACATCCCATCAAATACATAGGACCACTATTGCAAATCAGCTCTTTTTTTAAAGGATTGATTCCTTGTAAGACTCTTACCATATGGCAATTGTACTCTGTGCTGGTAACACATACACCCTTTCTTGGAAGGAGGGAGGGATTTAGCTGCTCTCTTACGACTTTACCAAAAAAAAAATCAAAGCTAATTGTTTGCATTTGTAGGCAACTATGAGCTGGTCAGTTTGCTGCTGAGCCGAGAAGCTGATCCCCTCTTGAGTATGCTGGAAGCCAATGGGATCTCCTCATCGCTTCATGAGGACATGAACTGTTTCAGCCATGCTGCTGCTCATGGACATAGGTAAATCATGGGAATAGGTTGGTAAGTGTAGACAGATGTGCCCCATGGATGCTAGGAGCAGAGAGGTCCCCTCTTTTTCCTCCCGTGCTTTACCTCAGCACCTGGAGAGAACGTGCAAGGGATTTATTCGGATTCTTTCACAGGACATGGTGAAAGTCCTTTGGCTGGTTCAATAACATGCAAAGGACACTGGTGGATTATGGACCACAGTACAGGCTTGGGGAACAATGATCTGCAAAATAATCTCTCCTTTAACTTTTTCATTTATTAGGTGCGAGCACTATGGGAGCAATAGCATTGCCAGAATATTTCTGTAGCCTGGAACAATTCAAGTTTCTGTATCCCAGCATGACTGCATTTTTAATCATCTTGTAAAAATCAGCCACCTATTCCCATTTTTGCTACCATTGGGAGATAGTAAAATAGATAACAGAGGACAACATCAAAGAATAATGTTGACCTATGCTTAAGGACATATCCATTAACTTAAGGAAAATTAAGAAGGAAATTTTCTCACCCCATCAGTCCTTTGCCAAAAAGTTTATCTAGACCCGAGTCCCACAAAAAGAGATCTGCGATATACTGGGGGGAAAATGAGATACGATAGTCTATACAGGATAGACTATAGAAAGAAGAGTATTATAATGTATCCTTAGAGAGAGAGGTTAAAATATAATTGTACTTATAACTGCTGTGAAGAAGATTGGAAGCCGCTTCTTTATATCTTTTTTATATCTTCTTTTTATCTACTTTTCTTCTTTCTTTTTTCTTTATCTTCCTCTTACTTTTTTTTTGCACTTTTATCTTTTTCTTTTATCTCTCCCTCTTTTTTTTCCTTTCTCATTCTACTTTAGTTTTTATTACCGTATTTTTCCGACTATAAGACGATACTTTTTTCTAAAATCCTTACCCTAAAAA